GGTGTTTGGGGGGATGAATGGTGGATGGGTGAGTGAGGGTGGATGGGTGAGTGAGGGTGGATGGGTGAGTGAGGGTGTGGGTGAGTGAGGGTGTGGGTGAGTGGAAGGGTGGATGGGTGAGTGAGGGTGTGGGTGAGTGAGGGTGGATGGGCGAGTGAGTGTGTGGGTGAGTGATGGTGTGGGTGACTGGAAGGGTGGATGGGTGTTTGGGAATATAAGTCGAATAGAAGTGAGGGCGAGTGAGTGGGGTGCAAAGATAGATGGTGATGTAGATTGGAGAGTTCGATTATGTACGTGTGTGTTGATTTTTGAATGCAATCATTAATGGGTAAATTATAGTGTATCATACATCTGCGTGCGTGTACATGTGTGTATTGTGAAACTATGTGAAGACTGTTTTTTGTTGTTTTTGTTTTGTTTTTGCTCCATCTTTGTACATCTTGATTGCTAACGACTGTGTTTTTTTAATAGTATTGAATGCTATTACTGTTGTTTTGCTGAAGGGTCAGACAGACAGACAGAAGAGCTTGCTGGAATACCCGACAACTATGAGACGGTGGTTCTGAAGGCATTTCAGACGATCTGGCAAGCCATTAACAATTTCTGGTAAGTAATCCATCCGTTTGTCTCCTGCATTGCTAGTTGTAATATATACTGGATAACCTAATATGCATTGAATAGCCACAGTTCATTTTCCATCTGACGTGCGGTCCATTTATACTAGCTAGGTAGACTACTAATTCTGTCGGCCGCACGGTATATTACACGATCCGAATACTCGGCTTAATCAATCGACAATGGAACATCGCGCGTTTCGTTAGTAATGTTTATGTCTGCGCACGCATGGTTCAGCCGTGTACCGTTAGTATCGTTTCCATCTACGCAGAAGCGTGCGCACGTACCGCGCGGTCTCGCGTCTCGTGGCTTACCGTCTGACGCGCATTTGTTTCTACGCAGCGGTCTCCTGTTCGACAGCCTCGGTGTCAGCCACGCGTTGGTCTACGAGCGATCGGGAGCCGCGCTGTCCGGCCAAGCCGAGGCTGAAGCCTTCCTCGTCCGGCTGCTGCCGACGCTGCAGCAGCTTAGAGCGGGTCTGCACGGGTACGTCACGCTGCCGGGGCACGCGTTGTCAGATACAAAATTAGGCGTGACGCTAGTTTTAACATAAATGTTTTCTCATAAACGATTGTCAGAAACAAAATTAGTCTTAATGTTAGCCTTAACACTGACTTTTGCTCATAGACTGTTGACAGAAACAAAATTTGTTGTGACATTGGTCTTAACATTGACTTTTTCTCATAGACCGTTGACAGAAACAAAATTAGCCGTAAAGTTAGTCTTAACATTAACTTTTCTCAAATATTATATATATATATATATATATATATATATATGTATAATGTCAAGACTTACATGCTGTAGGAGATATAAATGAAACTACTTCTTTGATGCTAACAACTTTGGTTTAGTAGCTAGTAAAACTCGTTATTGAATTGCTATTCTTCTAGAGTTATCACCATGCAATCAGTGGATGTGTCAAAGAATAACGAAGCCTTTAGTGCTCTCTGTCACGGACTGGTTTCATTCTTCCCCAATCTCCTTGACAATCAAGTAGGTGTAGAACAATATATGTTTTGTGCATGAATACTATTTATCTAGTATGGCTGCTACCACAGGTCTGTGTATATAAATACAATACACATACAATAGCAAGATACTGTGCACATTCACAATACAATACAATACATACTATCAGGAGTAGATAATAGGGAATTCTTTATTATCTACTCCTGATACTATGCACGTACAATAGCAAGATACTGTGCTCATACATAATACAATGCAATACATACTGTGCACGTACAATAGCAAGATACTGTGCTCATACATAATACAATGCAATACATACTGTGCACGTACAATAGCAAGATACTGTGCTCATACATAATACAATGCAATACAATACAATACATACTGTGCACATACAATAGCAGGTGGTTTATGCTTGACCGAGCGTTAAATCTGTATGTTCGGATAAAACTTAAATTTAAATCGATATAGCAATCTTCATTATTGCTCTCCCAACGAACATTTCTTCCAGGCAACACGTAGGTTTCACACTACAACTAATCGGTGAATCTAACACGTAGTACGCCAGCGACAAAGATCAGCGTAATTTTACTTTGCAGGAGGACGTCGCAGTTGCCGCGGTGACGGCCGCCATGTTGCAGAAGTTCTGCACGTCGCTTAGCAACCAGCAGCTGGTGGTGAACGGATACCAGCAGCTGCAGTCGTTCGTCGATCAGGTGTCGGCATGCGAGCTGATGTTGCGGGCGAGAAGCGAGAAGCCAAGTTGACAGCGTTCGCCGCATCGCGTGCAGCTGGCATCTTGTTTTTTTTAACGTATTATTGTGTTTATTCCTTATTGCGTTCCATAGCGTCCATATGACGATGTCAGGAGTGTATTATATAGATATCTATATTATATCTATATTATATCTATATATATATATATATTATACACTCCTGACATCGTCATAGCGCAACGAATGATTGCGCAAATCATATTTGCTAACTGGTAACTGACCAATTACTCACCGATGTGGCACTGTCATGGTCGGGTGAGGTTTGCCGTGTGACAAAAGCATCTGAAGTTGACAAGCTTACAATAGATTGAACCGAGTTGTGTATGCTTCAGGCATGATGGCTGTGATCTTTGTTACTTTGTTTATTCTACTGCAGAATATGGTATTAACGTTGACGTATTTTTTTACGCGGAAGGCGACACGTATTATTTGTAATTTTGAGTCTTGAGGCAGACATCCAAGTTAAATTGTAAATAATAATTTTTATTCTATAACAGTATGGCTTATTATATTACCTAATCATAATATTTCGATGTAATGTAGCCAGGAGTAATTAACATGTCAACGTGTTTAGTGATGTTGATCCAGTTTTTTTACTTCTTTTCTTTATTACTACTATCATAGACAAATATCAAACTGCAAGACACCCCAGCAATAAACACACTCAAGACACCCCAGCAATAAACACACTCAAGACACCCCAGCAATAAACACACTCAAGACACCCCAACAATAAACACACTCAAGACACCCCAGCAATAAACACACTCAAGACACCCCAGCAATAAACACACTCAAGACACCCCAGCAATAAACACACTCAAGAAGTGTCTTCTTCAGGGAACGTGTGTGAATGATTACCTTTTATTAGTTTCATTATTGCCAGCTGCTGTCTAGTTTCAAAGATGCCGTTAATAAACTGTGTGAGAGAAACAAGTGAAGCACAGAAAATAGTAATAATAGTGTGACACTAATTTGACATAAAATTATTTAATAATTAAATTAAATAATTAAATAATTGACGAGTAGACCCGAGATTACGAGAGAAATGCGCACAAACTTGGAAAGACAAGATCACCTTTGCCACCTCCAATGCTAACTCGTCCCAGACATCTCCTACGCAATGGATGAAAAAATTAGTCGAATCTGAAATGTTTGTTATGCCTCGTGAAAGATGAGAAAAGTAAATGTGATTATTGAGCTCACGTATGTGCCTTAACAGTGATGTGTATGATATTGATATGTCTATAAAGTTATTGTTGATGCTAAAGACATTTTCTTCGTGTTTTCGAATTCGATGTAGGTCTATTTTCTTATAGAGGTTTGCAATTGTGCATTCTTTTCACCCCCATATAATATATTATTCTTAACCTTTTTAGTGTCATGGACCCCTTTGAGAACCTGGTGAAAGCTATGGACCCCTCTCCAGAAAAATGCACATTAGCACAAAATTTTTATGCGCCTTGTTCACGGACCCCCTGAAGCCCATCCACGGACCTTAAAGGAGTCCATTGACCACAGGTTAAGGTGTCAATTTTTCATCCTTCACTTCTTTCTATCTTTATACAGGGTTCCCACAGCCATTGAAAGTCCTTGAATTTTGTCCTTTGACCTTGAAAGTCCTTGGAAATAGGTCCAAGTCCTTATTTTATGTCTAATGTCCTTGAATGTTACATTTTTGACCTAAAATAAAAAGCAAATCTTTATTGCTGGTTATCTGACTGACCCTATTCCAAGTCTTCGATAATTAATGTTAAATTTAATTCAAAATTCACATGTCATTGTCTACTAATGTACTCTACCAAAGTAGTTTGTTTTGTCCCTAATTTTTACGTGCAGGTGGTGTAGGGGTCTAGACTATAAGTTCGTAATTTTAATATTTATTTATTACTCAGTGTTCATATTTTGCAACACAGTTGTGTCAATTTGTGTGTAGGAAAATACACACTGAGTAATAAATAAAAAATATTATACTATAATAGTCAGCATATAGATACGATCAAGAGGCTCTCTATTATCTCTCTAGCATCTCTATTATGCACTCTTGATACGATCCCTGCCCATGCCACCCATGACTAAAAAGGGAAAATGAAACAAATGGTATCGCTTATGAAATCGTTAGCACGGTGAATTTTATTCAGGCAAATGACTGGTTTTCCGCGTCAACTTGTTCACCCCCCCCCCCATCACAAAATATGATTATATGAGAGAAGGAGAGTGTGTGTGCGTGCGTGCGTGCGTGC